GGGCAGCACCGCCTCCAATCAGGTCATTGTCTCCACCGTCCACTGATCTGTATGATCGCCTGATAGTATTTATAGCCCGCCATATAGACGAGATGCGCCGAGAGTTGGCGGAGCAAATGGTAGAGATGGCACGTGAGTTTAGGAGACGGGTCGATGATTTATCTAATGACATTGGAGTTCTCCATCGCCAGGTGGGAGTTCTTCAAGATGAGATCGCAACCCTCCGAGGCGATATAATATGTATGAGATGGAGGGGGTGATTTCTGGGCGGATGATGCTACGTTGGCTTCATTTTTTTGTCCCTAGAGGAGGGTAGGACGAAGACAGTGGCCTTGGAGGGGGGTAGAACGAAGTGGCTGGCTTTGGAGGATGAGGTAATGGTGGGGAGCCTGAAGGGGATTGCCCCGGAGGGTGGTAGGACGGAGGGGTTGGCCCCAGAGGAGGTAGTGGTGGCATCGGAGGCAGTGGTGGTGGTAGAGGACGTACATAAGCCTGGCGTGGCTACGGGGAAAAGGCGTGTCATTGACTCCCTAGAGCAGGTGGTCGGCAAGAGGGTCAGGTTGCCTTCGCATTACGTCGTTTATCCCTTCACAGCTGAGGCAAAGAGGAGGACGTTCGTCGACGGGACGTACCCTAATCTGTTTCGGGAGGTAGATGCAGCCAAATGGAAAGCGTTAGAAACGGAGTGGAGGATAATTAAACCGGGGTAAATATTTTAAAATTTCAATAAAGAATGCTACGCTAACTCATCTATATCGTTTTTAACGTTTATCTTATTTTTTTCAGACATAACCGCATCGTTGGAGAGATGATGACATCACCTTTCGGGCCAATGATGTAAGTGAAATAGTCATATTGTTGTTTATTATGTATACATTATTTTTTTGTTTTATGAAATGATATAACCCTATATATTTTTCATTGGTGTTTCCTGATGCAGCACATCGATTTGGCCATGGAGTATTGCGAGATCGAGCTCGACGATATCCGCTATCATTCGACATGCCCGACCGACTCATACTGAGCATTGAGTTTTTTTGGTGATGTTACCATTGAGCATCAGTCGTTGCAACGTATGGGTAGTGAGTATATGTTGCCTGAATATATAGCTGAATGGGTAGTAGGGATGTTACCGACGCTCGGGGGAAAGGCATGGGAGGTTTGTGCACATATATATGTTCCAGCGATCGTGAATTATCATACCATTGTCGTGGAGATTTTTTTGCTCACTTCACGATGTATGTGTACGACTCCGACCATTCATGTCGACACAGGGCCAGCTCGAGTAGCAGTTGCAGCTGATTGCAGTGATTATTTTGTTGATGGCTGCCCAAACTGGTGTTATTTGAATCACAGGCTAGCCATCGCATGGGATTAGACAACGACGAGACAGCTCGATCATAAGTATTTATATTTTGTTTTTAACTTAGAAACTTATTTTTTATATAACACATTTTTGAACTAACACTTTTATTATTCAATTGCAGAGGTGATTGCCGCATTTTTGCAATAAAGTACATCGTATTTTTTAGTATAGGATATAAGGTTGATGAAATCAACTAGCCATGGATACAAATTTGGAGGGATAAATTAGAAGCTGATTTGTACGAATTAGAGTGTGACC